GGGAGGCATCATTTTTAGGGGCTGTTCCACAAACGCACAATCTAATAGACGTCTAAAGAAAAGCGTGAAAACTGCATGATATACACCCCCGCTGCAGCCCAAACCACAGTATGGCAGTGTTCAACCGCCCTAAGTTGGTTTATGAAGTCTTTGATTTTAAAGGCTGGAGGATTTTACATTCATGATGGTAAAAAAAAAAAACACCCACCTGAGTGCAGCTTTCCCCCACAACCCCCCCCCCCCTTTATGCTGTCCTGAGTCTGATCCTGATCCAGCGATGTGCACAAGAGCAGAGTGTCTCGGCTCTCTCGCATCTCATTGGCTTAGAGACAACAGCTGGAGCCATTGACTCCTGCTGCTGTCAATCACAGCCAGGGAGGGGGGAACAGGGGGCCGGGCCAAGCTGTGCTGATTGACGTTTACGGACAAACAGAGGCGGATCGGGAGTGAGCATGCATGAGTACCCCCAGAGCAAGCAGGTTGTCATGGGGGCACTCAGCGGGGGTGAGGGGGGATGGAGGAACCAGGAGTATTGGTGACGGACCCGAGAAGAGAAGGATTGAGGCTGCTCTGTGAAAAATCATTGCACAGAGCAGGTAAGTATGACATGTTCATTATTTAAAAAAAATTAAAAATAAACCTTTAGAATTACTTTAAGTGGCCAGGAGAATTTTTAGATTGTTGCAGTGCAGCAGAGCAGCATTGGAGGATTTATGAAGTTATGAAGCTGTCTCATATTTGTCTCGTTGCACCTGGTTTGCATTGTGTTGCTTTGATAAATCTCCTCTTATGGTTTTTTAATACGTTTCAGCCCTCTGCTGTTGCTTTCAGCTTGTGAGATGCTAGAAAATGACAATTCCACAGCAAACCGAGTGAATGACCACTGGAAGAGGAGAGCCAAATAAATCTTCCTGCCTGCAGCAGACTGCTGAGATCATTGTGCTATGCTCAGGCCTAGGCAGCATCATTTGATTTTTTTTTTTTTTAATCGTAAGTATATATTGCTTTAGGGCTCACTTATATGGGTGCTGAGAGCCATACACCATGATAAACATGTCTATCTCTGTGTCCAGGAGTGACAGTTGTTTGCATATAACCAGCAGTACAAATCAATGACAGTCTGCAGCTGTACACTTGTAACTGCACATCCAAGCGTTTGTTTGCGTACACGGCCACTAATAAGTCTCTGTATGCAAGTTCTTATGTGCAGTTACAGCAGGCAACCTTGTCATTGATTTGTACAGGTGGCTATACACAAACTGTCACTGTGTGGCCTAAAAATCCCCTAGATTCTCACGGTGTATGGCGCTGTGAGAATGAGCACTTAATATTATACTGTGGGTTGCATTGTTTTAAATTGCCACCAATTACAGACAGAGGACATTATATTGGTCAGTATATATTTTTGATGTACTGGTCTCCAGAATGATCACACAACACTAAATAGACTTGTTGAGTTGAATGTCTTTTTTTCCTTGAATAACTTCTTGTCAGCTGCTTTCCAACAGACATTTTTTAGATCAGCCATTATCAACTTAGGGTTTCTCCAGAGGTTGCTAGTGGTTCCTTGTGCTTCGGCTGATTGACCACCCATTTCATTATGCCTGCTTATTCTGCAAGGGTGGCATTCTGACTACCCCAGTAAGGGTATTATTCTTCTACTGACTACAAATGTATAAGGCATTTTTTCCCATTGCTCCCAGATGAATTGATTTCAGTAAGGGTTCCCCAAGACCTGAAAATTATTTTAGGGTTTCCTCTGGAGTAAAAAGGTGGAAAAAGGCAGTTTTAGATTATACCCCATATGCCTTAAAACGTAATGTAGATATATACAGTAGTAGTATAGCAATGTAAATTGGAACATTACATCACAGTGAAAATAATAAAAATGTGTAGAACGATATTATTTTGGCAGTTATGTAATGTAACACATGTCAGTTGAATACATCTAGCATAGATTTAGTGATTGAAGCTGGCATGTAGTCAGTGTGCGTTACTGGCTTGACAAATTTCCATGGCCAATGTTTAAATTAAGTAGAGCAGGAAATAACAGAGGTCATAATGGTGTGATGTTTATGTATCATTGATGTCTTTATAAATGCACTCCATCTCACTACTTCTGCCTGTCATATTAAGAGCCTGATACACTCATTTGTTGATGGGCAGCATACTTCATTTTTCTAAGAATCCAAAAATGAATACATCTTTTCAGCTACTTGGGAAGCTGACCTCTTTGGTCTTCATGTGCATATTTGGTTATCCCTGGTGTCTGTGTTTTTTAGGGTATTCCCCAGCTAGAATAATGACCAAGAGGCTGAGAAAACAACGTGGGGTCTTATATCATTGTATCCAGATTCTGAAGCCAACCATATACTGTTCAAATCTCGGCTGGTTTAGCAGGGACCGGCCAATATTCGATCCATTGATGGGCAGGCTGGTTGTGCCCAAGGCAATCCGTTGATCGACTTGGTAAAACATGCCTGTTGGATTTTTTACATGCGATTACTGCCGGCGACTGTTCTGAAAGCCGGAAAGGCTCCCTGCTGGCAGAACACGATACTGCGGAAGGGATTCCCCCATCAACACTGACTGTGTTGATGGGGTATCCAGGACATTTTCTTTCCTTCTATCCGTGGTGGATTGAAAATTGCATAATCTATGAGCTGCTTTAGTGCCCTATATTTAATGTATGTAAATGCTTGGTAAATGGATACAGCGTTCAGTAATCTCATCCTCCCCGCTCTTTGCTGATAGATTATTTTGAATAAATATAGAGGGTCACCCATGTTCCTCCTCTTAGAAGCAACAGAAGCTGACAATGACACAGTCACCACTAAGTGGTGTTATTAGTGAATTCTGTGATCACAACTTCTGGTTATGGTACAATCAGGTTTCTTAGTGTTCATATAGCAAAGTGCAGCGCTAAAACAATCACAAAAGTGTCCGTTTATGTGACCCAATATACTATGTAAATAAATAGTAATACATGATAAAAGTTCATAAGGTGACAATATAATATGATAAAAGTTCATAAGGTGACAATCTGTACTTAAAGTGCCAACTGCAATGATGCTTCAGTGTTTGTGCTTGTAGGTGTAGTAAAATTGCGCACTCACCAGATGCGCAATGGAAATGTGCATATAAATATATAATCAGAGGTCATTTTAAGGAAACTAGGGTAAGCTGGGTACCGGATTATGCTCCCTCTAGGTGGCGGGCAGCACAGCAAATACTCCTGGGTTATACGACAATCCAATCAGACAGAGGTCCCCTTTAAGGGATGGTTGGGTGTTGCAGCCTGAGTTTACAGGGACTCCCTTCTCTGGTTACTGGGATGGATCATAATCTTTGATGGGCTCTGGAAATCAATCACTCCACAGGGGAGCCAAACAAAAAGTGCCCATAGTGTAGTAAGATTAAAGTATTTATTTCCAAAGAGTTTCGATGTAAAATGATTAAAAGTGATGCATAATAGGTGAATAATAGGACTAATCGTCCAAGGACTAAGATGGCCGCCGGACCTTCACGAGGCTCCGGCGGCAGGACATCACGGTGTATTGGCTCCTCCTCCTAGTTTCATAGTGTTATTAAAGATAATTACGTTTTTTCCATGTTGTGTACATAAAAAAGTGAGCTGTTGCATGTAACTGATGTCATCAATATATATTTTATAACCCTTGCTGTTGTGTATAGTTTGTAACTATACAGGCTGTCCATTGAGTCTGGATTCCTAGGCATCGAATTATTAGAAATCATCATTTCCATTCCTACAGAGTGCTGCCGATCCAGAAATTCCATGGTGATGATGCCGGCAGGCGTGTGAAATATTGTGAACGGTTTGTCCACACATGTAGCGAGGGAGGGGGCATTAAAAACAAGAGGTTGATCTATGGTTTTATTGCAACCCCCCCAAACCACCCACCTGAGCACTGATAAACAGCCAGCTGCTAGCAGTTGTACACATGCTGCTGCCACAATGCTGTGCTTTGCAGCCACAGCAAAAATTAAACAGCATGTTGCTTTTGGTAGGTGTCCCTATAAACCTACATTAGTCGTGTTCAGTGGCCAGAACATACCACCACCGCCACCTCATAACCATCTGCAATGCTTGCTATTGCAATGCAGTAGTGCAGCATTTATAGGGCTAAATCAGGTGGTGAGGAGGTCACATATCGCATTATCGCTGCCTGTCAAATGCCCTCTGAAAAAGTGGGCCATCGAGTATCGCTGTTCAGAGGGCACTGCTCGTAAGTCCTTACAGTGATGAAGCCTCACTGGTAATGTCAACCAGGAAATGCACATTACTGGTCTAAAGACAGTCCACATACTGGATGGCTGAGAGACATTTTCTAACTGAACGAACTATGGTACACTATATACACTGTATTGCAAAAAGTATTGGGATGCCTGTCTTTACAGGCACATGAATTTTAATGGCATCCCAGTCTCAGTCCGTAGGGTTCAATATTGAGTTGGCCCACCCTTTGCAGCTATAACAGCTTCAACTCTTCTGGGAAGGCTGTCCACAAGGTTTAGGAGTGTGTCTATGGGAATGTTTGACCATTCTTCCAGAAGTGCATTTGTTGAGGTCAGGCACTGATGTCGGACGAGAAGGCCTGACTCACAGTCTCCGCTCTAATTCATCCCAAAGGTGTTCTATCGGGTTGAGGTCAGGACTCAGTAAAGTTCCTCCACCCCAAACTCACTCGTCCATGTCTTTGTGGACCTTGTTTTGTGCACTGGTCATATTGGAACAGGGGAAGGGGCCATCCCCAAACTGTTCCCACAAAGTTTGGAGCATGAAATTGTCCACAATGTCTTGGTATGCTGATGCCTTAAGAGTTCCCTTCACTGGAACTTATGGGCCCAAGCCCTGAAAAACAACCAAACATTACACTTGGCACAATGCAGTCAGGCAAGTTCCGTTCTCCTGGCAACTGGCAAACACGTCTATCGGATTACCAGACAGAAAAGCATAATTTGTCATTCCAGAGAACTCTCTAGAGTCCAGTGGCGGCGTGTTTTACACCACTGCATCCGACGCTTTGCATTGCACTTGGTGATATAAAGGCTTGGATGCAGCTGCACGGCAATGGAATCCCATTCCTTGAAGCTCTCTGCGCACTGTTGTACTAATCTGAAGGCCACAGGAAGTTTGGAGGTCTTTAGCTATTGACTCTGCGGACAGCTGACAACGTCTGCGCACTATATGCTTCAGCATGCTCTGACCCTGCTCTGTCATTGTACGTGGCCTACCACTTCGTGGCTGAGCTGCTGTTGTTCCCAGTTGCTTTTGCTTTGTTATAATACCACTTGACCGTTGAATATGTAGTAGCAAGGAAATTTCATGGATGGACTTATTGTACAGGTGGCAATCTATCACAGTACCACGTTTGAATTCACTAAGCTCCTGAGAGTGACCCATTTTTTTCATAAATGTTTGTAGAAGCAGTCTGCATGCCTAGGTGCTTGATTTTATAAACCTGTGGCCATAAAAGTGATCGGGACACCTGAATCCAATGATTTGGAGGGGTGTCCCAAAACTTTTGGCAGTTTAGTGTATTTGGTGACATATTAATTGGGCCTTTTGCCTCTGTATGTTATCTTTTCTTGTCTTTCAATTAGATGACATTCCTTTGTTGGAATGACATATAAAGTGATTTCAGCAAGACATGTAAAAATGTAAAAGTCACATAGCATTTTCTAGATCCAGATAAAAATCCAATTTTTAGGTAGAGAGTTCCTTTAACAAATGCCAAAAACTTAAATCGGTGTAAAGGACTGACAAGTCATAATATTATTTCCAGCATTGTGAGGCAATTCAGCAGCTTTATAATCATCTGGGGAATATTCATAGCTTAATATGAATCTTATTTCCTGTCAGATGCTTTTGTTTTTTCTCTTCAGCATGATACAATAATTTTAACAATTAAGCAGGAAATTAGCTGAGCTTCACTTCCAGGCGTGCCATGAAAGCAAATATTACCGAAAATGAGCTTTTAACTCTGATTCTCCTTTTTGTGTGGAAATAAATGCTTATCTGATTTCATAATACTTGGCAATTTAGCTGTTAGCACAGTAGATTATCGAAGCGTAGTCATTTTCAAGGGGGAGCATGATCATGATCTAATTTACTTGTCTACGTCTAGAATACTGCTGTATACCTAATATTCCTTGAAAAGCAGCATGATTTACCTTCATAGAAGTAGCAATTTTTGTTATCCTAGTCATTATACTCTGTTTCAGAGTGACTGTCTCTCTCGAATAAGAATTCATCAGCAGCTTTTAACTTGTGAGTGGAGATAAGCAAACTGATTAGCTATAGGTCTGGTGGATCATATACTTTGAAGATGAAATGCATATCCAATTCATCCTAAAACTGAACTCCAGCTTGAAAAAAAAGCACAGTAACAGTATAAACAAAAAGAGTACCTTCTCCTGCTGCAATGCTCGTCTTCAATCTGGAGTTGTCCTCCAGAATAGTTGTTATCCATCACTACATGTCCTCAGTCTTTTGGATTGAATGATGGCCATTGTTGTTCAGCCCACTTTGCCTGAGCCCAGGCTATCATGGACATGCCTCTTGGTCATTGCATGAATGATGTTCAGTGCAGCAGTTAAGACTGCCCATCTCCTCTGTGTGTTGGAAAAGAGGATGTGATGGATTCTTAACACCCTGACTGGGTATTTCCATCAGAAAGCTGCTCCCAAGCTCTGGAACACAAGGCAAGTGACTATATAGCTGTAGCTACCCAAAAGAACTAGACAACACCAGTTTTTGGAGTAAAGAAGAACTGCTCTATTAGAGAAAAATACTGAATTTATACAGAAAACCATTAGATAAGAGTTAATCACATTATCTTAGACAATACCCACCCCAGACAGTCCGCTGCCTAAATAGGAATGCATTATACCTAGGAAGCCATATGTTACAATGATAGTTCTTTTGGGGTGACAGGGCCAGAGTGACAACTTGTTAAAGGTATTCGGGTGGCGTTCGTGGAGTAACTGGGCAACAGTTTCATAGACGTGGTTACCAAACTCCGGTGAGATGTAATGCTGAAATTTTGAGGTTTCCAACTAAGCTCCCTCTCAGTAACCACCCCAGCTCATGTCCCACCAAAAGGAGAACATAGTTCCAAAAGAGCAATGGGCCTTCCAAGCGACTCCTAGTAAAGTTTGCAAGTATCCTTCTGGCCCTAGCCACTATATACAGTGGGGCAAAAAAGTATTTAGTCAGCCACCAATTGTGCAAGTTCTCCCACTTAAAAAGATGAGAGAGGCCTGTAATTGGCATCATAGGTAGACCTCAACTATGAGAGACAAAATGAGAAAAAAAATCCAGACAATCACATTGGCTGATTTGGAAAGAATTTATTTGCAAATTATGGTGGAAAATAAGTATTTGGTCACCTACAAACAAGCAAGATTTCTGGCTCTCACAGACATGTACCTTCTTCTTTAAGAGGCCCTCTGTCCTGCAGTCATTACCTGTATCAATGGCACCTGTTTGAACTTGTTATCAGTATAAAAGACACCTGTCCACAACTTCAAACAGTCACACTCCAAACTCCACTATGGTGAAGAGCAAAGAGCTGTCGAAGGACACCAGAAACAAAATTGTAGACCTGCACCAGGCTGGGAAGACTGAATCTGCAATAGGCAAGCAGCTTGGTGTGAACAAATCAACTGTGGGAGCAAAAATTAGAAAATGGAAGACATACAAGACCACTGATAATCTCCCTCGATCCGGGGCTCCACGTACGATCTCACCCCGTAGGGTCAAAATGATCACAAGAACGGTGAGCAAAAATCCCAGAACCACACGGGGGGACCTAGTGAATGACCTGCAGAGAGCTGGGACCAACGTAACAAAGGCTACCATCAGTAACACACTATGCCGCCAGGGACTCAGATCCTGCAGTGCCAGAGGTGTCCCCCTGCTTAAGCCAGTACATGTCCGGGCCCATCTGAAGTTTGTTAGAGAGCATTTGGATGATCCAGAAGAGGATTGGGAGAATGTCATATGGTCAGATGAAACCAAAATAGAACTGTTTGGTAGAAACACAACTCGTCGTGTTTGGAGGAGAGAGAATGCTGAGTTGCATCCAAAGAACACCATACCTACTGTGAAGGATGGGGGTGGCAACATCATGCTTTGGGGCTGTCTCTCCGCAAAGGGACCAGGATGACTGATCCATGTATAGGACAAAATGAATGGGGCCATGTATGGTGAGATTTTGAGTGCAAACCTCCTTCCATCAGCAAGGGCATTGAAGATGAAACGTGGCTGGGTCTTCCAACATGACATTGATCCCAAACATACCGCCCGGGCAACGAAGGAGTGGCTTCGTAAGAAGCATTTCAAGGTCCTGGAGTGGCCTAGCCAGTCTCCAGATCTCAACCCCATAGAAAACCTTTGGAGGGAGTTGAAAGTCCGTGTTGCCCAGCGACTGCCCCAAAACATCACTGCTCTAGAGGAGATCTGCATGGAGGAATGAGCCAACATACCAGCAACAGTGTGTGCCAACCTTGTGAAGACTTACAGGAAACGTTTGACCTCTGTCATTGCCAACATATAAAAGTATTGAGATGAACTTTTGATATTGACCAAATACTTATTTTCCACCATAATTTGCAAATAAATTCTTTCCAAATCAGCCAATGTGATTGTCTGGATTTTTTTTCTCATTTTGTCTCTCATAGTTGAGGTCTACCTATGATGCCAATTACAGGCCTCTCTCATCTTTTTAAGTGGCAGAATTTGCACAATTGGTGGCTGACTAAATACTTTTTTGTCTCACTGTATGTGAATAGGACCCAGTGCAGCGCTCATGGACTGCTCAGGCAAGATAAAAGTCGAGATGGGTATAAAAGTCCACTAGTGACCAGCTCCTTCTGGATATCTTGAAAACACAATAAAACACATGGCAATGGTTGTCCTGCAGCCCCAAGTCCATGACAAGAGGGTTCAGGAGGACCCAAGGTGTTAATGGACTGGTAAGAATATCCTTAGGAAAAAGTAAGTATGTATGTATTTTATAAAATGGAATTTTTTTAAGCAGACTTCAGCTTTAAGACATTTGAAATTTGACCAGAAGTGTCTTTCCTTCTCTGGGTAGCCACTGCACCTGCTTGTGTTCAGCTACCTCCCCCTCCAATATCTATTTATTCAATTCCCTATCAGCTCTCAAAAGGTGCAAATCCTGGTTTAGATAAAAAAATCATGTTGTAGCATAGCTGTAATATCATGGGACATTGGTGTAAATATTTTCAGTGCCTTGAGATAGTGCTTTTAGTGTTTTTTTTTTCATTTTATAACTTTTTAGATCATTAACTCACTGGAATCATAACCTGCTAATCATACTTCAAGCTACAACATACGGCAGCATGTGGAGAGTAAGGGTAGGCTATGCATTGATGATGTATGTCACACAGAGGGCAGCATTGGGCTGCTCCAAGATATGACTACGAAATACCTGTCACTCCTAGATCTTAGTCACTTTACTCACACAAATGTATTGTACCCCGCTCAGAAGAAACAAGTTCAAATTATTTTCTGCTCCTGGGAGAGCTACGGTATAGTCCTTCTTCACTCCTTACACTAGCTGAGCTAAAGTGGCTTCTGATGCAACATGATCACAAAAAATTGACTTCCTTAACAGTGAGTTAGCAAGAATGCTGACTCTGTGTCTGATATGTTGGAGGGAGCACAACTGTATAAAACAGGTAGCTGTTTCACATTTGCTGAAATTTAGTTGTAATAGACCTCTAATGTCAGTGCTATGGCTGCTGATTATAATAGTCATGTGATCGCTATGACATTGCTGGCATGGTATTCCCAAAATGTTTTTGTCTTGTCACTCCCCTTTCACATGGGTGTCATCCGTTCAGTCACGTTTTTGCTAAGAAAAATGGATTCAGTTTACATCAATTAACATCCATTTTCCGTTTAAGCAAAACAAAAAGAATAGACAAAAAAGAAAGGACTTCACGGTGCCAGGCATAACCTCACGAAAGGTTGATGAACACCCATATAAAATCCAATAATTTTTTTCAAAGACATGTTAAAATTGTAATAAAATTGTGCAAAAAGCATAACAGGTAGACTACTGCGTGTTAGTAGCCATAGAATAATTAATTTGCTGGGTCCTCAAGTTTATATATTAAAAATTTATTATAAATACACATATACTCTAGAACAGGGCTTAAAATTTCATTCCTGAGCTACTAGCCAGGCCTTAACAGTTACTCGCCACCAACAAACACACACAAACAGAGACACCTGTACACAGACATGTACATACACACACAGAAACATGTACACACACGCACAGAGTCACATGTACACACACACACAGGCACGTACAGACACGCATACACACAGATACATGTACATACACAGAAATACACACGCACAGACACGTACATACAGACACACATGTACATACATATACAG